TTTTGACAGTTCACTCAGGCATCTTCCCAACCCGGGCTCCAGAGTCCTGACTTGCACCGTGAGCCCCTGCAGGGAATATTTAGGTGCTGGCAAAGCCCTGTGACCTTCCTGAGTCCCTTCCCAGCCTGAGCCCGGAGCAGTGGGTGGGAAGGTGAGTTCCTGGTCCCAAGGACAGGGGGAACCTGAGTTTTAGGGCTCTGTGCACACCTGGCCTGACAGTAGAAGTGTCTGATCGATGGCTCCACTGCTCGTTATCGGTCGCAGTGATTAACTCTGATTAACTGATGCTCTCACTGCTGGGGCACCTCCTAATCATGAGGAAGGATTAATTCAACTTTCTCCCAAACTAAACCACACTCAGCTCTATCCATAGCATGAGGGGTCCAAAAACTTACATTCACTTTGCAGGCAATTAATGATCCTTTCCTAATTTAGAAACCTCCCAGTGTTCTTCCATAAGTCTGGGCTCCATCTCTCTGCCTTCTTGCAGTGCAGATTTCTCCTCAAACCTTAAATTTAAACCACCTGATCCTGTGCCAGCAGGAGGTGTGTTTGCAGGGCTGGGTGGTTGGTGCTAGAAGAGACTGTAAAACCCAGGATGTGCCGCAGGGATGAGCAGACGCTTCCGACTGGGAAGGCTGTGCAGCCCTGGGTGACGGTGACACCGTGGAAATGGGATAATTATGCCACCAGAATTCCTGCCTTCCCCCTCTGCCCAAACCCTCGCTGCCAGTTCTCAGAGAGCTCTCATAGGATCATTGCATTGTTAAGGCTGGAAGAGCCCTCCAGGATCGAGTCCAACCACCAGCCCAGCACCGGCACGTTCACCACTAACCCGTGTCCCCATGGGCCACATCCACATGATTTTTGAACATTCCAAGGATGGTGGCTCCACCAGTGCCCTGGGCAGCCTGTGCCAGTACCTTCTTTCAGTGAAGAAATGTTTCCTAATATCCAACCTAAACCTCCCCTGGTGCAACTTGAAGCTCTTTGCTCTTGTCCTGCCCCTTCTTACCCGGGAGAAGAGACTGATTTCCCCACCTTGATTTTCCTGTGAAATGCAGCTGAACAGGCAGGGTGGGGAGAAGTGACTGGGCTGAACCACAGCCCAGATGTCTGCACTGACCTCATCCTGTTACCTGCCCTTCTCCTGCCTCTGTCTCCTCCTGGCACACTTGGAATAACTCTTCCCCTTTAATCCTTCTCTCCTAACCCAAGGGCTGATCCCTGCCTGCTTCCTCCTCCTCCTCCTCCTGCCCAAGCTAACCCAACCCCCTCCACACAATCCCAGGTCCCCTGGCTTCCTTGTCGTCATCATCCAGCTGTGCTGCTCCTTCTGCTGTGTGGAGGGGGGAGAATGAAGGTGCTTGGGAGCCTGAAGGATGATTTTTCCCCATGGGTTTGCCGCTCTCCCCAGCTGCCCTGGATTTGGCAACCCTGCACACGGAAGGGCTGTGGGTCAGTCCTGGAAGGTCGGGTCTCCTGTCGATGGGGGGATGTGATTTACACTGACTTCTCCCTCAGGTGGATGGACAAGTCTCTTTTAAAGGAAAACACTGGCTTTTTGTGACAGGAGGTCTGGTGTCTGTGATATAAAACCCCATGGAAATTGCAGGCCAGTTCTTAGCTCCGATCCCAAACTGATGTTCCTGCGACGTTGCCATGACTGCGACAGTGACTCATCCCATTATGGTTTGCAGCTTTCTTGTTGTACAAAGTCACCAGGGAAATAATTTTCCCTATCTATACATCCCAAGGCTGTAAGGTTTGCTCCAGCAAACAAGACAAATAATATTTCCCGGTAATAGGAGCAGCCAACTGGAAAATGAGACCAATAGGTTCTATTCTTAGTTCCATCATTAACCTTGGACATATTTTGTAACTTAGCTGGAGCTCTCCTTAGCTGCCTGTAAAGCTGAAAAAGTTATAAATACAGGGGATGGTTTTAGTAAGTAATTAAAATTCTGACTCTGAAGTGTAAAATGTTCACAGCACCTCCCAGAACTGCTGAGGGAAGGTCCTGCTGTGCAGGTG